CCATCCTGCAGCAGAATTCATTCCTTTCTTGTCCCATGTTTTGTCAGCCTGAATGGGCAGGGTTAGTTCTATACTCTCTCCCTTTCTTCTTGGGACCTCTTTTCCACTCCTCTTTGCCCAAGATCAACTTTATTCTACATTTCCAATAACATGCATCTTACTGACTTCTCATGCACATACTTTTTCTTGATTTATACAAGATCTAAAGAGACCACTGCAATCTTTCCATAGGACACACAACTACTACTACTTAAACCTATACGTAGTTGCTACTCTCTTACTTGGTGGCTGACAACAGCATGATAAATGTTGAAATTTTACTATTCTGGAGTATGAAAGATTACTTAAGTTGTCTCTCCCAACTTTGGGGGGTAAAATAATTTGTAGATAGGAATGAATAATAGAATTGAAATGGATCTCAAGGTGGCTAATTGCCCTAACTTTCAGATAGTTTCTAGACTATCTCTGGCAAAACAAGTGTTCTCTCACCATAAATGGTCTAAATAATTGTGGGTGACTGCCTGGAAGCCCAGGTTGATATGTACTCTGTGTTCAAATCTAGGCACTGGATTTGCCATAATCAATTAGTGATGTCTGCCATGGGTGAGGGTTAGGACGGTGTGGACAGTAATGACACCACATTTCCATCTTTTTGGATAAAACCAACAAAGATGGAGAATTACTTTTTCAGTTTAAAATGATTTCAAACACTGAGAAAGTATTCCAGGTGAGAAAGGCAGGGGAAGGGAGAAGTCATCTTGGTACAGATGAGGATGTTGACGAATAGCCATATTTTTTGAGTATGATAACTTTTCTGAAAAGCGCTAAAATATAATAGTGCTCTTGAGATGATGATGTGGACTGTAATAGAAAGTTTAAAGGCTAACAGAATGTCGTTGCCTGTTTTTCTAGCTCAGAAGAGCAAATGCTGAGTGAAAGTGTACAGTAGAAGAAAATTGGCCTTCTTCACAACTGAGTGAAGATGCTCTTACTGTGTTCAGAAAACATTCTTGAAATGGACTTTTCAGTAATCTAAATTTAAACACGTAAATTTTAAAAAACACCGTTTTGCCGAGAACTCTATGAAACAGCCATTTGAAGGAATTTGCCATTTAATAGAAAATCCATTTCCTCGTGAAAATATAACTTGCTGTTCTTGGTTCAAATATCTTCAGAAAAACTTTTTTTGTTTTGTTTTGTTTGGAAATGTTGATACCTTATGCTACACTTAGAAATAAAACAGAAGCCACAGAAAATTTCTTTCAGAGATGTTAGCCTGGAAATATGATTATATTGTAGCGAAAGCCCAACAAAATGTCTGAAGGACTAATGAAGTCTTTGTAAATGCAAGCAAATGGACTTAGAACTCCATCCATAAAATGTGAGTAGTGACAGCAATAATAACCATGACCACTTATTGAACAAGAAGCTATCATTTATTATTATATGCCTGCTCTCTTCCTGACTTCCTTCTTTCCTTCCTTCCTCTCCCCATTCCTCCTCTTCTTGGTTCCACAAATACTGAGTTCCTACTATGTTCCAGGAACTATACAAAGCTCAAGAAACAATGACATTGGGGATCCAGATAGACAAGGATTCTGACTTCACAGAGTTTATACTCTAGTGGGGAAAAGCTGGGTATTCATCAAGTAATGACAACAATGTGTTGTGTCAGGATGGACTGAGATGTCTGTTTCCCCTTTGGGGGACAAAGGGGCAACTTTAGGACTAGAAAAAGATGATTTCAGTGTGCAACTAGTTGCTGCTTGTTAATATGAGGAAGGACAAGTGTATCTTTACTGTGAAATGACCTGGATATTATTTTTTTTTCTCTTTATCCTTACTTAAGAGATCAGAAATTTTATTGAGGCATGCCTAAGAGTATTCCAGGCTCGAAATCAGAGAGCCCTTTCAATCTTGCAGACTTAAGTCTTTCATTATCTCACAAACATTTTCTCCATTTATTTGTCTAACTACGACCTCCTCTTATCTATCTCCCTTTGTCCTTCTAAAATATCTGTTATTCATTTGTTAGGTCTTCTGGACATAGAGATTCTAAGTCTCTAAACTTTTCCTTCATGATTTATGTCTCTATACTTTTTTCTCAGGTCTTTGAGATATTTCTTGCCGGCCATTTTCTAGGCTACTAATTTGGGTTTTAATAATGACCTTCCCCCCCACCGCCAAAAAAAGTGAAATGCTACTTTTGTTTGATAAAATTTCTCCTTTAAATCAGCCCAAATTTCCAGAAGCATGGATAGTTTTGAAGTCAGAGACACCAGGTGTTGGAACCCTCGCTCATCCCTTATTAGCTCATGACCTTGGACAAGGCAGTTACCTGCTTAAAGCTCAGTTTCCTCATCTATGGGGAAGGAGCTGCTACCACCCATGGAACTGAACTATAATAATGATTACATGATAGGAAATAGATATTTTTTGCAAGGTATTCGTTACCTACAGAATGTTCCATAAATATTTAGTGTAACATTTGATTAAACATCGCATTGACTAATATAAAATTAAAGTCTGTGGGGGAAATCACAGGCTTTTTTCAACATTAATTACGTGTTCTTATGTATTTTTTTGTGGCTTTTGCATAGAAAGCTTTTAAACTTGCTAATAAAATTATAATGCCTTACATTTGTATAATACTTGACTATTTATCTGTAGCTTTGTGATTGAAAACAGGTTTATTATTTTAATGCTGCTGCTGAGTTAAATGATTTTCCAAAGAGTACCAAGCTAATAGGTGGCATAAACAGCTGTCAAAATCTCCAACCTAAAAACATTTCTCCCATTGACAGTCAATTCCACAAATATCAATAACTTACTATATTTTTAAAAATGTAATCATCAAAGAGTTTCTGGATGGATTTTATTCAATCAGTTATGCATTCAATGAGTGGAAATAAAAAATATGTATGACAGCACCTTACTATGTACCATGCATGGTTCAGAATGCCAAAGATAAAATAGTAAAGCAGATACAGTCCCTGCTTTCAGGAAGCTTATAATCTAGTAAAAGGGGATGTCCGTTAATCAAAGAATCATATGAATACATGTAAACTTGAGAGCTGAGAGAAAGTACATTTCACAAGGAGATTTTACATCATCAGGAAGGTTAGAAAGGCTCCCCGAGGAAATGATGCTAAGGTGAGGTTCAAAGGAAGAGTTACTGTTAGCCAGGAAAAGGAGGGTTAAGTGGGGAGAGGAGCCTTCAAGACAGAGGGAATAGCAGAGACAAAGGCTCTGTGTCAGGAAGGAGCCTTTCAGATTGCGAGATTGAAATTGGGCCAGTGTCACGGGAACTCAGAGAGTGAAGGCAAGTGTGTGAGGGGAGCTGCAGAGGCAAGTGGGGGTCAGATGACATAGGATTCTGAGATGTGTGTGAAATATTTTGGTCTTTCTCTTAGAGTAATAGAATGCCAACTAGAGTTTTAAGAAGTAGGTGTGCGTGTGCGTGTGCATGTACGTGTGCGTGTGCATGTGCGCGTGTGCGTGCACGCTGCTGGCACTGTGTTTATTTAGCGAACATCCCTCTGGCCGAGGAGGAAAGCAGATTAAAAGGCCAGAATGGATACAGGTAAAGCAGTCAGGAGGCCGTTGAGGAAGCCCAGTTGAGAGACAGGGGGCAGTGAAGACAGAGAGGAAGGGCTCAGATCTGTGAGGTAATTAGGACGTTAAAATAATTGCACCTGATGAGGTAGAGAGGCTTTTAAGAATGAACTCTAAATTCCTAGCTCAAATAGCTGGTAGATGGTAGATGTACTTACTGTTGTAAGGAAAACTAAAATAAGGCCAGATTTGGGGGGGATTAAGATGATGAATTTGGTTGAATATATTCAATTTGAGGTGTCTTTCAGGCACCAGATGGAGATATGAAGTAGTAGTTGGCCACATATGTCAGCTGCTCAAGGAATAAGACTGGAGATAAAACATGTTGAGTCATCTACTATAGATGGTTATTGATGTTGTGGGTGGAGTTGGAATAAGATTATTGTTCCCATACTTTCTCAGACATTTACTTCTTGATTTGTTTTGACCACTGTATTCAGGACACTAAGGAGCAGGGGCGAGCATAACACCCTAAATCTCTAGGATTAGCTGTACCTCCACAGACACCTGTAGTAAGTGCTCAGGAGCCTGTCTGCACCAACGACATGTACACTGGAGAGCAGTGAGGGAAGGAAAGCAGGTAGACCAGATGCCTCAGCCCTGCCAAGAAACAGATACACAGTAGACTTGCCCTCTACTCCGATACTATACTGTGAAGAAGGAAGGAAAGGGAGAATATTGAAATTAAAGAAAGAGGGAAGAACTTCTCTGAGTGTGAGTTTGAATTGACTATTTGTCCAAATAAAATTGTTGCACTGAAGGAGACTTTTTAAAACTTGAGATTAAATCACGTTGACTTGTCAAATTTAAGTATTTCATTTTCCCCTATGGTCTTTCCACCATGGGAATGAGAGCCTTACAACGATGTGATTAGTTGTGGGACAAATAGGACTTTCGTTTGTTTTGTTGCTATTGCACATCTGAATTGTATTGTCGTATTGTGCAGATCGATGCCCTGCCACACCATAATTTAAATTGTCTGACCCATAAGCTTGTTATGGACCTCACTGTGTCTTACAGAGTTCACAGAGCTAGCCAATGGCAGAGCTGGACAAGAACAAAGCTCTTGTTATCATGTTTCCCCTCATGATTAAATAAAATCTATATTCCTTTTAAATTTATGCTTTGGAGAATTTTATGTCCATTTCATGTATTAGTTCCATCATGTGGTACAGTGTACTTCATTTCCTATATAGTTTTAACTTTTGTGTACTTTTGCGTACATGCAGCTAGTAATTGGGCTCTGATATATATATATGTATCCACACACACACATATAATATCAAATATATATTATTATAAATTGTATGATATATGTTATATATATAGTCCTATATATTATACCATATGGATTTTAAGTCTATATTTTTTTCCTTTGGATTTAGCTCTCAGCAGTTTCCAGGACCCAATAGCAGCAAAATCCAGAAGGATGAGGAAATCTCAGGGGTATTCAGATGGCAATGACTACAAACACTCAAGACAGCAGAAAACTGAGGACAGCTGTCTCTACTCTTCACCTTGTGTAAAGGGACTGACCCATGAACAGCTTCAAGAGCACTGGCCTTGCAAACGTAAATCCATACATTAGTTGCAGTCATTCTTCTTCAAGTGGGCATCCTGCCCTCGCCGTCAGTGTGCATCTGGGAGTATCCTATGCACGACCTTTCAATTGACTCCATTCGGAGAATAAACAAGCCAGCCCAGCCTCAGGCAACAGTCTACACCCATCTGTGCTCTCCTTTGGTCAGTTTATACAGCCCATGGAATTTCGGAGAAACAGAAGCCCAGGATTGAGAGACTTATTCCAGATCACACAGCCAGTGACTGGGGATGTATTTCATGCTGGAGTTCATATTCTTTCTTATTTATTTATTTATTTATTTATTTATTTATTTATTTATTTATTTATTTATTTATTTATTTGACAGAGAGAGATACAGCGAGAGAGGGAACACAAGTAGGGGGAGTGGGAGAGGGAGAAGCAGGCTCCCTGCTGAGCAGGAAGCCCGATGCGGGGCTCAATCCCAGGACCCTGGGATCATGACCTGAGCCGAAGGCAGACGCTTAATGACTGAGCCACCCAGGCGCCCCTGGAGTTCATATTCTATCCATGGTCCATGCTGCCTCTCCTGCCGTGATGAGGATGAGAGCATTGGATTCAGTCCTGGGCTCACATCTATTTCTACACTGCTTGGAAAAGCTAATTAGCATACATGAACTTCAGTTTGCTTGTCTAGAAATTAGGGATGGTAATACTTCTACAGTGGAGTAGTTGTGAGGAAGGAGATGGCAGAGGCCACATGCCCTTAGTGTGATGTCTGAAATATAGTTAGGACCCAATAAATAGCATTTGATTGGTGCTGGTGTTTTGTTATTTTTGCTATTATTTATAATGCCCTCAGAGGAAAATTCCTTGGAAACTGCCCTAAAAAGAGATCAACACCTGACCTACAGCTTTCTGCAAGTGACTTTTGGTGCTGATCATATGAGCCATGTGGGTTTGGTGGGAAGTACTTCAATTAAAAATTCTCCTTCAGATTAGGTTAAGTATGCCACTGTTTGGGTACAACATGGATTTCCTCAGCTAGTTCAAGCACTGACCTTTTAATATTTTCACCAAGGGAAATGGAGACAAATAACAGGATTTGAGTCAGATAAAGCCCTGGGAGATTGGAAAGGGTAATACTGTTGCTGACAATTTAGTAAAATCACGAGTACCCTGAGAAGTTCTGTTTAGGGTACCAATTCCCATCCAGTGTTAATGTCTAGAATCTTCTGAAGCAGGCATTGCACACCGAGGAGGCTTGTTCCTGCAACTCGGGTGGGGCACTGTGGTAGATACCATTGATTTGGATGTCTGTCCAGGTTTTCTTTGCTGAGCACTGTGCACCTCACCCTGATGCAGGAACCAAAGACCTGAGGCTGTGTGGATCAAGAATGCTATGCAGTGTGCAAAAAAGAAGCATGGCTGGGTCAGAACCGGTCCCCTGGTTCTCCTGCTTAAAGGCTATCTCCGTGCTGCTTGGTGAGGAGGACCTGGAGACCGACATCAGAACCCCAAGGGTCTCTCTTTCCACTGTGTGCTAGCTTGGGTCATAGAAAGCATCTTTGTCTTTACTGGCACCGTACTCATCACCAAATCCTCCTACAGGTGAAAACAAAACACAATAATACAAAACCTTATTGGAACAAAGGAAATCTACTTAATGATTTCAGCTAAGGTGCTGATGCCCGATGTAGGAAAAGCTGGTACATGGTCACCCTGCCCTCTCGTAGAAAACAGTTTAATAGGGCTTCTTTCTGTCTCTGTGTATGAGATATTACCCTTTTAAAGCAGAACCCATTCATGGCTTGGTCCCAGCACTAAGGAGACTAGACTTCCCCTGACGTTTCTGAAGCATGTTTGGAGTTTAATTTAATTGTGTTCAGTTGGGTCTCAGAGCAGCCCCAAACTTCTGAGACACTCCTGGAGCTCATTTGGGCTTCTGCCCTCAGGAATTTCCTTAAGCAGAATCCCTTAGTAGTGGACTAACAGAGCCCACCAGAGCCATTTAACTTCATCTTAGAGATAATGAAGGGGCAGGCTGCTGGGAGGGGCTTTCTCCCCATTTCTTAGCCCCCTTGAATCTAATACTATGATTCTTAACCCTATCAGACCCACCACCTACTTATAGCAAACATAATGTCCTCTTTACTATCCTAAAATGAAATCCCTATTCACACAATTAAAACAATGTAACATCTTAGCAATAATATAGAGGAGAAATAAAAAGAAAGAGATTTCTACTAAAAGGAGATATGTTTCAATATGTAAATTTTCAAACAGGGGCCACAATGAGGGTGTTGCATACTTGCATTTATATTTGGAAACTCTGTGAATGCAGAGACTGTGAAAAATAGGCTCACAGAGTCTTCGATCCAAAACTACTGTTAGTGCTGCTATTAGGTAAGTCATGGCACCGTCCAAAATGGAAGTTTCAAACAACAGAAACTCTTTGATTTACATGGTGGTTGGGTTTCTGCAAAATTAGTATCTTGCAAAAGATACTTTGTATTTATAGGTAAGACAGAGTTATGTTCTTGGCTCTGATAATTATACGTAGGTTTTGTTCCTCATGGCCCTCTGGAGTGACATGTGTGAAGTAGGTGGAATGCAGGACAGTTCTTTGTTGGGTGGGATTGTCCCAGGTGTTGTGGGACATCTGGAATTTCTGCCTCTTCCCATCATTGGGGCAACCAGAATGGTTGATTGGACAAATTCTGCTCTTCATGGATTTCATAAGTTAGAAATTAAAGTGGCACCATTAAACCCATAACCCACACTGACTGTTCTTAATAATGGGGCAGTATGCTTGTACTTCTGCAAAAAGTGATGGAGAATTGTATTTTTATTTTAATAGCCTTCCTAGTCTGCTGGTCTGTGCTCAGGTTGGAGCTCAATACCCAGGGCACTTCTTTGAATTCTAGCCCATTATAAAAGGGCATTTGCATTCCCATCCTTATCCCCCGCCCAATGTCTGCCCCCTTCCTGCCCTCACTGATGTGGTGCTGGCTCACGTGGACCCCTACACAGGCTGAGATGGCCCAAACTGGTCATCCGGGCCAAGCCTCATTTGATATTTTTTCTGTCCATCCCAGGAAAAGCCTTCCGACTAATAATGGTAAGTTCTTTTTCTCGAGTCATGAATCTTGCTCTGGAAAGAGCCTATTAGCCATCAATAAATTGAGCCCAGTGACAAATGGAATTAAAATAGGTCAAGCCCAGTACTTTCCAGCCATTATTTCTGGCAGTGGAGGGATGATAGGCATTCTAATTTGAAGAGAATGGGGTGCCTGTCAGCAGTTTCCCTCTGCTTTGCTCTTCCAGTCATCCCCTTTTGGAATGGTTTTGATGAGCCGACCTCCCTCCGGCTAAGTGAGGTCCAGTCCGTAGTCAGTAGCCAGGTTCTTTCTGATCTGGCTCTTCCCTTGTCAGTCTCCTGTTTTGTGACTCCTGCCCTTTATGCTTAGTGCCCTGACAACTCCAAAAGGCTCGATAGTTTCCAAATCCAAATCTTTACTCAGGTATTCCCTCTGCTTAGGAGGCCTGCCCTCCCCACCCCCTGATTGGTTCCTGAAAACTGCAGCTCAGACAATGCCTCCTTCCTCATGCCATGCTTAACCACCCTCAACATTGGAATTAACCTCTCTGAGCTGTGTAGGCTCTGTACATATGTGCTTCCATTGTCACACCCACCACGCTGCCTTGTAATTTATGACTTAATCACGTCTCCCCATTACTCCGGGACATTCTTTTTTTTTTTTTTAAGATTTTATTTATTTGCGAGAGAGAGAATGAGAGACAGAGAGCATGAGAGGGAGGAGGGTCAGAGGGAGAAGCAGACTCCCCGCCGAGCAGGGAGCCCGATGCGGGACTCGATCCCGGGACTCCAGGATCATGACCTGAGCCGAAGGCAGTCGCTTAACCAACTGAGCCACCCAGGCACCCACTCCGGGACATTCTTATGAGCCAAATCCATATCTTATTTTAAATAAATTTTAATTTTAATTTTTAAAAAAGATTTTATTTATTTTTGTGTGTGTGTGAGAGAGGGGGGGCGGGGAGGGGAGCCAGGCGAGAGGGAGAAGCAGACTCCCCGCTAAGCAGGGAGAGCCTGATGCAGGACTCGATCCCAGGACCCCGAGATCATGATCTGAGCCGAAGGCAGACTCTTAACCAACTAAGCCACCCAAGTGCCCTAAACTTTAATTTTTAGAACAGTTCTGGATTTTTAGAAAAATTGGCAAAGACAGTGCAGAGTTCCCATACGGCCCAGCAATCAGTTTCTCCTTTGACTAACATCTTACATTAGGTAAAGTACATTTGTTATAATGGTTGAACCGCTATGATACATTATTGACTAGATCCATACTTTATTTAGATTTCTTTGGTTTTTACCTAATGTCCTTTTTAGTTCCAGGACCAACCACACTGTGTTTAGTAGTTCATATCTCCTTAGACTCCTCCTGGCTGTGACAGCTCCTCAGACGTCCCTTGTTTCTGACCTTGGCAATTTTGAGGAAAACTGGCCAGGTATTGAATGACCCTCAGTTGTGATTTGTCTCAGGTTTTTCCCATGAGTTGACTGGTGCTGGGGTGCATATAATTAACATGATTTATCATTGTTACGATGAGCTTGATGTTTGGCTGAGTTAGTGTTTGTCAGGTTTCTTCACTGTAAAGTTGCAGGCCTCCCACCCCTTCCCATACTGTTTATGGCTCTTTAGAAAGTCACTGGGTGCAGCCTACACTCAAGGAGTAGGTTCTGCTGAGTATATAAATTATTTGAAATACTTCTACATAGTATATTTTTCTCTTCTCCCCCATTTACTCATTTTTTTTTTTTTTAAGATTTTATTTATTTGACAGAGAGAGACACAGCAAGAGAGGGAATACAAGCAGGGGGAGTGGGAGAGGGAGAAGCAGGCTTCCCACGGAGCAGGGAGCCCAATGCGGGGCTCGATCCCAGGACGCTGGGATCATGACCTGAGCCGAAGGCAGACGCTTAACGACTGAGCCAGGCGCCCCTACTCATGTTTTTATATCCTCGAAGACTGAGTGCTTAGCTCAGGATTGAGTGAATGGTAGGTACTTAATACACTTTATTGGTTCTGGTTTTCTAAGCAACCATTGTAAATCTCTCTCAATGTGGACATAACAATGCTAATAACTTCACATGATAAGAACCCTAAAACAGGAAATGTTGTTTTAGAAGTACTAGTCTATGTGTTTTAGCTCATTTACTCCTCACAACAATCTTGTCAGGATGACACTATTATGACCAAAGAGAATTTGTTTAGCTTATCTAAGGTCACACAGCTAATAAGTGGTAGAGACAAGATTCAGACCCATGCTGTCTAATTCCAGAGTGCACACTCTTAAAGCAACAGAGGCTGGAGTGCCTCTTTGGTTTCTGTTCCAATTACCTTGGCCTTGCTCTGTTGAGCTTATCTCCTATGAGAACAGGGTTCAATCTGTAAATAGTCCCCAGCTGGAAATCCTCTAGCAGAGCCTTCTTGTTTATACCAAATTCTCCTTCAAATCTGTGAAGCCTGGGGCACCTGGGTGGCTCAGTTGGTTAAGTGTCTCCTTTTGACTCAGGTCATGACTGTAGGGTCCTGGGATGGGCTCCCTGCTCAGTGGGGAGTCTGCCTCTCCCTCTGTCCCTCCCCACTGGTGCTCTCTCTCTCAAATAAATAAATAAAATCTTTAAAAAAATAATAAATCTGTGAGACCTGCAAAACATACTGGGGCAGAAATTCTTAAGAAATTGTAAAAGGCATCCCTTTTGA